GAAAGAATCGGCATCCCTTTTTGTTTTCCGTTTTTTTTGATTTTTTTTTTTTTCAAAATCCTCTTGATCGGGTTCTGTTGGATTCCCCGAACTGGTTTATTTTAGAAGAGATTGCTGGTTGGTTGTCGCAACAAGTGCATGGCTCAAAACACATCTCGGATATCATTGAAGACATTGTGCGAAGGTCCGCATGGCAACAGACTGTAAAAAATGCATTTTCGGCCGGTGCAACTCGTTCCCTGGCATATTCTTTCGCAAAACTGGTAAAAATGCTCAAGTCGCTGTGACAACTCCCTGCCGGTTGTGATTATGCAATACATTTACATTATCCTATTTATAAACAGCAAAGGATGCAGCATAGCATTTTCAGTTGTAGTCATGAAAACACGTAAATAAAAAAAAAAAAAAAAATGCAGAAAAACAAAAAATAAGCGGAAAGAAAGAAAGAAATAATGAGTTTTTTTTAGCACTTTTTGACCTGTTTGGTTAAAACACATCATAAATTACTGCCTTTTCCTGTACTGTAATACGCTATATTCCATTCCATTAGTTTTGATGGTTGAAACGTAAAGTGTGAAAATGCATAAGCAACTACTAAAATTGGGCTCGATTCGGCTGGCTTGGAAGAACAGTAGCAATGATTGTGATATATCCTGTCGCAGTAGAGGGCTAGAAGTGGGTGGGAGGGGATGAGCCAGAGGGTGATGGTGTTGGACTCGGGGAGTCTAAGAAAAGGGAAGGAACGGAGTTACTGGCTGGGAAAAAGCTGGAACTTTGCAGAGAGATAGGAACTGAAAATAGAGGCAGAGTCATGAGGGGGAGAGGGGGAGGGGGCGGAGGAGCTGTATGGGTTTATGATGCTGAGGAAAAAACTTGATGCTGAGCGCTAAAGCTGATAAGCGACCCTAAAAGTGAAGCACTGTGCATGATCAGGAGTTGTAGAGATTGGACCGAAACTCACAAACGAGTACATTTTGAGGGAGCCGAGTGTTTAGTTGTTGCTAATGTCATAAATTGAAATAAAGAATATTCTGTAATGGAAATATAAAAAATCACGAAAAATATAAAGGTGAAAATATAAAAATGTCACAAACAATAGCTGTATTAGCACTTTCGAAATTACACATGAACTGACATTTTAAAGCGGCTGAAACTGTGCCAAGCTAGTGTCTGTTTCAAGGTACAAGATCAACAGAATGATCATCAGGCGATGCAGCATTGGTCAAAGCAACTGAAAATAAAAAATTTCCAGCTGCAAGTAGGTTACAGCTTCCAGGTCAATCGTGGAAGTACAGAAGGTGGATGTGCATATGCAAGAAAAAGTAATGAAGGTTGGTGGTAAGAGTGAGATAAGACGTTTCGGTCCATTAAGCCATATACGTCTTAACACGACTGGACCTCGTCAGTATGACGGTCCAGTGCGTAAGGAAGAAAGGTATGAATTACAGCTGACCACAGTACGCTGTATAGATAGTGCTGCAGAACCAGAATTAGACCTCGGCAATAAAACGAGGGTGGGTGTACAGGGTGTACCTGCCTCTCCACTGATACGAATCATTAATTAGCGCAAAATGCACATTGTCAGTGCACATTTTGCACACTTTTTTCACAAATGCTTCCTGATAAGCTACACTATCTGCCGGACACGTTACTTGTTACCAAACAAAAATTCGGAGGTGATACCGCCCTTACTTCTAATTTCATGCATTTAGGTGGCCGCCAGATAAGAAGGTGTGGCGTGGGGGCCGCCAACTGAGCGAGTGACGAGGAGAGTGCGGAGTGAGGCCGCGAGTTAAGTGACAGTCGAGGAGTCGCTTAGCCAGTAAACCCAACAAGATAAATGGAGAACGAGGTTTTTTTAGATATGAAAAAAGGGTAGGACAAAAGTGAACACGCATGGTCATAGGTTAAAGGAAAATAAAAAAAAAATTATATAATTTTGTAATCAGAATCACATATTTCACACTATTTTCCCGTACGCATGTATCGCGCGCATGGGTACGACAAATATATTTGTAGCGAAGAAACAATTTATGAAAACACTCAAGCTACGAAGCTGAAATTTTACGAGGATATTTGCTAGCCATGTATTAAATTCTTTCGACTCAACTCTATGGCAAGCTAGATCTCGCGCTAGGCAAGGCGGACCTCCAAATTACTATTAAGAGAGGTTGCCGATCACCTTGCATTCTCAAGTTCGTCGCAGCCATAAAATAAACTTTTGTTTAAATCAGTCTTGCACACTGATGAGCCAAACGTTCACAGTGCAACACTTTCACTGTCCTCCTCGCTTGGCAGTCAAACAGGCAGGAAATTTTACAAGAATGCTTGCATATCTTGTGCAACACCAAGTTTGTAATATCGTCTTTCACTAACGCCTACGCTTCGTGAGCGTACATGGCAAGGTTGAGCATGTAAAATTGTTAGCATCTCTTATGGGTGATCGTGATAAAATAATTAAGTAGATGAAGGATAAGTATCATGTGCAATAGAAACGTTTGGATGCAGTCTGTTTCATCCTTTAGCTGTAAACACAGAGCGAATGCGGATTGGAGTAGGAATCATCAGTACAGCCTTCTACCTGCCATAAAAGAGCATGTGTCAACTCGTATAAGACTGGAGTAAAGAGAAAACGAAGAATGAAATATCACGCACGTGACTGGATCGTCTCAGTTGTTAGCCAAATGACCAAAACCTTTGCCAACATGAGTGCACATTTTACAACGTGAAGCAACGACCATTCATACTGTTAACGATCTGATTGCTTCAAGGTTTCCGCAAAAGCGCGTGA